GCTTTGTTCTGTTGTACATAGGGTCACTATGACTCAGTACTGACTCAATGGCTCCTAACAACAACATTTAGAAATGACAACTGCTATGATTTATGGTGATCCTCATATAATTCTTGTTGGTGAAATTAGGATGCTGGTGAGCTTGAGCCACCAACCTTATGGTTCAAACCGACTTTGCAGTTCAGCACATTAACCCACAGCGCCACACCAGGAGCCAGCTAGATAGAAGGATATTCTGAGAAGCATACTGAGACACAAATGTCTGGAGAAATGTATGTTCATTATCACAAAAGTTTAAAAGCTTAAATCAACCATTATTGTGCTGTCTGCTGGTTAAGAATAGATTCCCTATCGCCATTTTCAACATCACAAATAAATTTATTCCAAATTTTCAATGTATTAATAAAAAAGATCCATTTAAATGTAAGACACACAAATATTTTCTCTTCATTCCTAAGCACTCTGGAAATCATTTTAAAATATAGAAGAAAAGTCAGCAACACACAGAAAGACAGGTCTGTCTCATCTCCATGGTGTCCCAGCCCCAGAGTCTGGGTGAGTTCCTCTTTCCCTTTTCCCCAAGCAGAAGTGACCAGCTTCAGATGAGTTACTCTACCCATCTGGAAGCACGGAGGCAGATGGTGCAGACCACATCTGCTTCCCACTTGCCTGCAGGTGGGAAGGATTCAACAGCTGTCTCAGCCCCAAGGAAATGAGAACCCAGAGTCTTCCCAAGAGGAAAGTTACGTGGCGGAAGAGCAGCCTCCTCCCTCACTCTCAAGAGCAGTGGTCTGAATCCGGAAGTGATTGATTTGGCTCTCCTTAGGATACATGTGGCAAAGTCTGGAGACATTTTCAGTTGTCACAACTGGGGGAAGGGAGTTTACTACTGGCATACGACATCAAATAGGTAAAAGCCAAGGATGCTTTTAGACATCCTACAGCACACGGGGCAGATACTCCAACCAAGAGTTACCCATTCCATAAGGTCATGACTACTTTTCCCTGGGTGCACATCAGGAGAAGAGGAGAGGATGACTATCCAGTCAGGGTGGTCTTCACAAACCCAGGTAGCAGCTCAACCAGAAGAAACAGCCCTGTGATAACCATGCCAGTACTTACAATACAAGAACACCTGGTACATTTGTTTCCTTCTGGATGAAATTCCTCCCCTTCTTGGTACTGCACACCCTCAAACACACAGCCTGGAAAGCAAACAAGAGTTTAAGAACTAGCAGCAGCCTTCCTTCAGTTAAACATAATCTTTCTATCCACTGTTCATCCCTCTCCCACTCTTCATCCCCACTGACTTTTGGGTGTAGCATCCTCTTTTAACCAATGGACAAGATTGCTTCATAGTGAAAACAGAGTACAAAAATGGGTATGAGATCAGAAGAAATCCTAGAGATGCTAGAACAAACAAAATGGTGGGAGCTGGAGGGGCTGTACACTTCATGAGTCATGAAGTGTTATCTATAGAGCTACATTAGGATTATCTTGACCACCATCTGGAGAGTGCAACTTCACAGTAGTCAGAGAGACAAACACAAGACCAAGCAAGAGAGTAAATGATCAGCTTAAGAATAAATAAGATAAAGAGCTGCCTTGTGTTGAATTCCCAGCCTCTACCAGGCACGTTAGGAACTCTGGTAGCGTAGTGGTTACGAATCAGGCTGCTAAACTCAAGGTCAGCAGTTTGAAATTACCAGCTGTTCTGCAGGAGAAAGATGGGACTTTCTGCTCCCATAAAAATTTACAGTTTTGGAAACTCTATACAGGATTGCTGAGTCAGAACTGACTCGATAGCACATAACCACCAACCACCACCACCAGCCACTTTGGAGTTCTGGTGTGGCGCTGTGGAATAATGCACCGGACCACAAAGTCAGTTTGAACTGCAAGGTCAGCGTTTCAAACCCAGCAGCTACTCCTCAGAAACCCTATACAGGGTCACCATGGATTGGAACAAACTCAACGGCACTTAACAACAAAAAAAGCAACACCAGGCACTTTGTACCCTTGGTCTTACTCAATTTCCACTGTGATCCTACAAACAGTTGTGGTTCACAGAATTGTGCACTTAATTATTTAACGTCTTTGCAAACTCCCACCAAATGACCTTTTCCTGAAGGGTCTAGGTAAGAGAGAATGAGAGAAGATGCTAACAGGATTTCATGGTTCAGTTGTGAGTAGTTGTTAAAAAGGTTCATTGTGACTGTAAAAACATGGAACTTTAACATGTATAAAATGAGTCATCTCAGAAGCAGGAAGCAGGAAGTGGAATCTCATTATCAACAAGGAAGAACCTGGAGTGGAGTGTGCCCTTTTGGCCCTTGAGATCCCTATAATGGATCTCCTTGACCAGGGACAGAATGCTCAGACAGCAGAGGAGCAGGAACAGCGGAACAGTCAGAGCATGAGACAGCGGCCCAGCCCATGAGCAAGCAAAGCTAGTGACTTTGGGCAGGAGGCTGGCTTGCACAGTAGAATGCCTCCAGGCATTTAATTGGGAGCCTTAGGTCTGAGGACCCAGGAAGCTAGAGCCAAGTGTCTTCATGCTGAGGTTTATGGAGGAGTAGAGCAGCTTTGGAGTCCTGGCGTGGCGCTGTGGGCTAATGTGTCAGACTGCAAAGTCGTTTGAACTACAAGGTCGGTCGTTCAAGCTCACCAGCTGCTCCATAGAAACCTATACAGGGTCATTATGGGTTGGAATCGACTTGACGGCACTTAACAACAACAACAGAGTGGCTTTGGACATTTATCAGCCTCTCTAGAAGAACTTTGTAACGACTAATTATGACCCTATAGAGGGTTTCCAAAGGAGCTCTGATAGTGTAGTGGTTATGAGTTAGGCTGCTAACCTCAAAGCCAGCAGTTTGAAACTATTAGCCATTCCATGGGGGAAAGATGAGACTTTCTGCTCCTGTAAAGATTTACAGCCTTGGAAACCCTATGTAGGGTCACTGAGTTGGAACCAACTCCATGGCACACCACCACCACCACCACCACCACCACCACCTCCATCAAGATTCCAAGGGGCAGCTGGTGGGTCTGAAATGCCAGCCTTACGTTACCATCCAGTGCTTTATCCTACAGTGTCACACCAGGACTACTGAGTCTAAATTGAAGCTTTTTCATTTAAAAATGGACTCCTAGTGTGGTACTGTAGGATAAGCATTGAACTGCTAACCATAAGGTTGGTGGTTCAAACCCAACAGCTGCTGATTATTGTTGCTATTATTAAGTGCCATTTAGTCAGTTCTGACCCATACCTACTCTGTATAGGGTTTCCAAGGAGTGGCTGGTGAACTTGAACCGCTGACCTTGTGGTTCAAACCCACATTGCAGTCCAGTGCATTAACCCAGTGCGACATCAGAACTCCACCAGCTACTGATACCCCAGCTCATATACAGGTTGGCTTTGAGTCAGACAGTACTCGATGGCACTTAACAACAAGTCTAAAATTGGTCATCTTTCAATGGATACTTCCAACAAAGTGTCTTCAATTCTTCCTTATCTGCACAACTGTTTGCATCACACAAATTGCCAGAGAGATTCGCACTAACCATGTAGACTTGACTTTATAAATAAAAGAATGGATCTTAAGCTAAAATTCTAGGCAAACTGTCCCCACCCACCACCTTGAGCAAAGAGACAGAAGCAAAGGGAGGACCAGACACCAAAGAATGCCATGAAATCAGTTTCAGGGTGAAACTGACCACAGACAGTATATGTTTGTCATTATGCAAAATGCCATTCCATGATTAATGACAGATGCCAGTCCTGGGGAATCACCACTCAGAACACCCCAAGGCTCTGTTGACTATCCCCACCTAGTCATTTGTGTGTTTTTTTTCCACTCAGGCATATATAATAAATTACATCTCCAAATGGCACATTCTGCAAGTCTGCTCCTGGCCACCAGCTCTTAGTCCTTCTCTTCTTAGTTGATGAATCTAGAGTCCTCAGCCGCGCTCCCTCTCCATGCCCCCATCTCTGCCTCCATCTCTGGCGCTGCTGCTTCTCTGGGTAAGGTCTCGCACTCTGCTTGTGCGCTTCTCTCTTGATGGTCCTAGGGTCCTCTGTTTCTGGGCAGTAAAATTAATCACTCCCCTTTTTTTGTTACAAAACTTCTACCTTTACAAGTGTGACAGTTGCGATTAGTCATGATAACAGTTTTTCACTATTGAATCGTACAAATCTTATCCCCATCTCCTTTCACCAGACCCATCTAGACAAGATGGGGACTCTTTCTTTCCCCCCACCCTCTTAAACTAAGCTCCCTCTTGAAACCTTGTAAGCCAGTCACTTCAGCTAGCCAATGTCTAAGTTTCCCGTCCCTATCTACCCTGTGCACAGAGCAGATAGCATTGATACTTGATTTGAAGACTCTTTCCCTCTCTGTTGGTATTTAGAGTAACTAACACTCTGAGTATAGGTCAGGTTCATCATGAAGATGTATCTTTTGTCACTGTAGCTGTTCCAGTCTGCTTGTCCTTTCTAGTGGGAATGTCTCACCTCACAAGGTTGTGGATGGGACTCAGGATTCCACCTAAGGTCATATACTCTGTAAAGGCTTTGCATGAGACCTATTTCACTGGGCAAGTTGTAGAACCCCTTTTAGGCATTCCAATCAGTTATAGGCTGAAGGCGGGCTTACAAGTTTTCTCTAATCATGTTTCCCAACATTCCTTTCTATCCCACTCAAGTGTCTATTTTACAATAGTAGGCAAGGGAAACTAATATTCATAAGACCGTCAAGGATTTTAGTATTATTTACCCTCTTCAAGCTACACCTAGATCCCTGTAGCCCAGAGCCCTGTTGTTCCAAGATTGAGCATGCATCACTATTTACCTCTGTCCCACTTAGGCCATGCAAACCTGTGTCAGTGTTCCCCTACCTATCTTGTTCTTCTGCCTCCTCCCCCCTTCTTGTATTGCCCTCCCCAAAACCCAAAATAACCTCCCCCACTCCAACCCCATTGTGGTTATCTTATATTCCATTAGTCCCACCTAATCTTGAGGAGAACTTTGTCCCCATACAAAGGCTATTGCATTCTTGATTGGCCACATCTGAGTCCCCTGATTTGCATCACAAAGGTTGGCTTTTGGAACAAAGGAGAGGGAGCATAGCTAATTCTTGCTGATAACTGAGGATACAAAGACTGCTCAGGGGATCCCATACCTGGGAATAAGTGTGGCACTGGTATGCTAACATTTAAAAGTGGTATGAGGTGGGAGGTAGAAGGGGCACTGAAACGAGGTGGGGAAGGAAGAGCAGGGCCCGACTCCAGCCTCAGCTTTGGCTCTTACTCTCTGAACAACCTGGAACAGTTAGGAAAACTGGAAGTCCCTTATTTCCTCCTGTGTGAACTGGATACAAGTCCCAGTCTCCCACTAGTTGGCTGACAGGAGTGGGCCCTGCAATGTGCACTTGTGAGCTCAATCCTTTCCTTCCTCAGCCTCAGCAAGAGAACTTCTGAGAAGTCAGCCTTTGAGAACCCTACAGAGCACAGTCTTATTATATCACATATATGGAGTTACCATGAGTCAGACTGACTCAGCAGTCATTGGTTTAATGGTAGGTATTTAAGGTTACTGTTACACTATACAAAATATTCATATTTACATGGAAATCATATTTATTGTTAAGTGCCATTGAGTAAGTTCAGACTCATACTGGTCTTACTAGGCTGTATCTTTGTGGGTGCAGAAAGCCTTGGAAACCCTCATCTTTTTTCTGAGAAGCAACTGATGGGCTTGAACGCTGACCTTGTGGTTTTTAGCCCAGAGCTTATCCTACAGAGCCACCCACCCTTCTGAAAACATATTTAGTGGGGGAAAAAAAAAAGCAGTCAAGCAAATTGTGTTTGATAGATGCCAAATAACTGGATTAATGAAAAATTATTTTTCTTTCTACAAAATTCTTATTATCATGTAAACTCATCCAATAATAAAATCTTCACAGAAAGGCCAGTGGGAAAAGGAGTGGGTGTATGATTTCCCAGGAACCCAGAAAAGGTTAGAAGTAATGGCAATTCTGGGCTCAGAAAAGGTACAATTGGTCTACCACACACTCCAAAATAAACTGGAGTCAGGAGCCTGAGAATGGACGGGTCCATCCCTGTGTGGTGCCTGAACCATTTTATAGAAAAGTTTAAAGGACAAGAGATCTTTGGAGATTAATGACAAAAGCAAAGAGTAGTCATTGTTAGTATCACCACTTAAAGTAAAACTCAAGTCTCAGAACATCTGTCTGAAACTATCAGCCAGTGGCTTAAGGGATCAGAAGGAATGTGTCACCTCAAAATCCCCAGGATTGTACCTAAGGGCAAGACAAAATGCAGGAGGCCTTTGTCATCCTGCTCTGAAAAGTGAGCGGAAGCCCTGCAGCCACTCTGAAGGAAAGAATCCACCGCTGTCAGCTGGGGAGCAGACCCTCTAAAACAGGACTGTGTGTCCAGCTTGTTGCTCCACACAGAAAACTGAGACCAGCAAAACCCCCAGTTCAATTCACTCAGGGACACAGTTCTCGGTTTTCAGAAAACATCTGGTCGCCTCATCACCAAGGCAAGCTCTGGCCAAGGTATTGCAATATGAAGCAGTAAAAAGACATTTCTGGAAGCCAGGAAAAGCCACAGCATTTCCTTCCAAAATAAGCGTTACCTGTGGCCTCTGGAGCCTGGAGATTCCTCATGCCAAGACCTACAGCACATTGCATCCATATTGGGCACACAAGGACGCCAAGAAGACATTGCAATGCAAAGGAGTTTGCACTCTAAATGCGTTTAGATACAGGACATGAAATGGGGGAAAGGACTTGAGGAGTGGGGTTGGTGGAATCATGCAGTCTTGGGAGACCTCAGAGATTTCAACAGTATTGTCCAGAACCAGGGGAACGTCTAGTATTTTCCTTCCCACGAACATTACCTGGACACGTTGGGCAGCAGGTTCCTGGATGCTTGGAAGGGTTTTCACAATGAACAGCACATCGCACCTCAGACTCTGTGAGGACACCTTCCTGAAAAACAGAGCGCCACAAGCAAAGTCAGCGCAGAGTTCCTACTGAAGGAGTTGTTAGCTTTTGCAAAAGAACCAAGCTTGAAGGAGAGCCCTAACACAAAGTGTGAAGATGTCTCAAATGATCGCGCCCAGAGGTATAATGTTTAAAGGAGGCAAGAAAATGCGTTAGAGCCCAGAGCACAAATCCTGTCATGGTCTTTGGTCTTTTTCCTACTCTCACTTTTTCTCTTTGGCCCCAATTTCTTCCCTTTAAGTACTTTAGACCTTCTTGCTGTTAGATTCAGGACCTCAGTTAGCACTATCCACAATATTCAAATCCTTTTAGTACTTATTGTATTTCCATAATTCATATTACACTTCCAGCCATTGCTTATGGGTCATAGAATACAATGCAGAGAAGGCATCAGGAAGCCAGGTCCCACTTGTAGTAATAATAGAACCAGTTCTGCAACCCTGGAAATTTCACCCCACCACACGGAGTCCTGGTGTAGCACTGTGGGCTAATGCAGCAGACTTCAAAGTCGTTTGAACTGCAAGGTCAGCAGTTCAAGCTCACCAGCCGCTCCTAAAAACACTATATAGGGTCACTATGGGTCAGAATTGACTTGACGACACTTAACAACAACAACACACTGTCTAGCACATAGTAGTATTTGTCTAATTAAATTGGGTCTCAATCTTCTCAACCATCAAATGAAGACTTAAGATCTTCAGAGTGAAATCAAGGGAGTCCTTTGCTGATCTTAGGGCTCTAATTCATCATTTTAGTGCCAGTTAAAATTTTTATTTTCCATGGGAGACATTTGAATGGTTTTTGCCACATTCTTTACTCATTTTATGAATGGATTTGTGCTTTTGTTAGATTGCTGTTGTTTCAGGGGGAAGATGTAGGTCTCACAAGTTTTAAAAGAATGTAGCAAGTATTTTGGCAATTAGGTAATTCTCATTGTGTCTACTGATACACAGTCTCAGACTAACAAGAAGCTAGTATCTAAATGTCTTCCTATCTGGAGTCTGAAGCTTCCACTACCAGGGGGATTCACTGTGGTCTACAATACATTTAATCAAGAAAAAAAACAACAAAAAACTTCCAATGTTAGCAATAAAGAAAATAAAAAAAGGGCCCATGCTGTCATTATATAATTGAAGGAATGCAAAATGCTATGGCCCCAAATCAAGCTTCTTGAGGCTCTGCAACCCCCCACTTTGAGGATTCAGGTTATTTCCCAGTATGAATCCCCTGTCTGTGATCTCAAGATTTTCCTCTTTCAATGAGAAACTAAAAGCAGAAAAATAATGATAAATGTATCACTACTGTAAGAAAGATACCAAAACTTCTTCAATAGAAGAAAATGAGTTTAAAGTCAATGCAAATGGAAATTAACCAAACCATGTTGTTATCGTAAAGTGCCATTGATTTGGTTCCAACTCATAGCAACCCTGCAAAGGATTTCTAAAGGAGGAGCTGGTGGGTTTGAACAGTCTGCCTTGCAGTAAAACAGACCTTGCGATCTAGTGCTTATCCTACAGCGTCACACCAGAACACCAAACCATGATTATTATCCATGTTATTATCCATGTACCTAGTACATGCAGACACTCTATCACAAGCATGTCACATGATTTTCTCATTTGTTGTACTATTCCATTTTACGTAGATTGTTGTTGTTGCTGTTGTTGTAGTTAGGTGCCATAGAGTTGGTACCGACTCATAGCAACCTTACACACAACAGAACGAAACACTGCCCAGCCCTGAGTGAACCTCACAATCATTGCTACATTTGAGAACATTGCAGTTGCCACTGTGGCAATCCATCTACTTGAGGGTCCTTCCTCCTTTTCCCCAACCCTCCACTTTGCCAAACATGATATCCTTCTCCAGGAACTGGTCCTTCCTGACAATATATCGGAACTATGAGAGACGAAGTTTGGCCATCTTGGCCTCCGAGCACTCTGGCTGCACTTTTTCCAACACAGATCTATTGGTTCTTTTCAGAGCCCATGGCACTTTCAATATTCTCCTCCAACACCATAACTCAAAAGCATAAATTCTTCTATTGTCTTCCTTATTCACTGTCCAACTTTCACTTGGCATATGAGGTTATTGAAAATACCATGGCTTGGGTCAGGCATACCTTAGTCCGCAAACTGACATCTTTGCTCTTCAACACTATAAAAGAAGTCTTGTGCAGCAGATTTGCCTAATGCAATACATCATTTAATTTCTTGACTGCTGCTTCCATGAGTGTTGATGGCTGATCCAAGCAAAATGAAGACATGGACAACTTCAATCTTTTCTCCATTTATATGGATGATGTTTATTGGTCTAGTTGTAAGCATTTTTCTTTTTCTTTACATTGCGGTGCAACTCTTAACGAGGGCTTTGGTCTTTGATTTTCAACAGTAAGTACTTTAAGTCCTCTTCACTTTCCGCAAACAAGGTTGTAATATCTGCATATTGCAGGTTGTTAATGAATCTTCCTCGAATCCTGATGCGACGGTTTTCTTCAGATAACGTGCTCAGCATAAAGACTGAGTAAGTATGGTGGTATAATACAACCCTGGCTCATACCTTGGCTGATTTCAAACCATTCAGTGTTCCCTTGTTCTGTTCAAACAACTTGATCTATGTACAGGTTCTTCATTAGCACAATTAAGTGTTTCGGAATATTCATTCTCTGCAATGTTGTCCGTAGTTTGTCATGATCCACGCAATTGAAAGCCTTTTCATAGTCATTAAAGTACAGGTAAACATCTTTTTGGTATTCTCTGCTTCCAGCCAAGATCCATCTGATATCCCTTATTCCACATCCTTGTCTGGCTCTGGCTTGGACCTCGGGCAGCTCTCTGTCGCAAATTTGCAACTGTTTTTGGATTACCTTTAGTAAAATCTTCCTTGTATGAGATATGAATGATATTGTCTAATGATTTTTGCAGTTCATTGGGTCACCTCTCTTAGGAATGGGCATAAATATGGATCTCTTCCAGTCAGTTTGCTAGATAGTTATCTTCCAAATTTCTTGGCATAAATTAGTCAGTGCCTCCAGTGCTTCGTCAGTTTATTGAAAGATTTCAATTTTACTCCATCAATTCCCAGAACCTTGTTCTTTGCCAATTCCTTGGACTTTTTTCTTCATCATCTTTGGCTCATGATCATATGTTACTTCTTGAAATGGTTGAACATCAACCATTTATTTTGGTACAATGACTCCATGTATTCCTTCCCACTTTATTTGATGCTTTCTTCATCATTCAATATTTGTCCAAGGAATCCTTCAATATTACAACTCAAGGCTTACATTTTTTCTTCAGGTCCCTCAGCTTGAGAAATGCTCAGTGTGCTCTTCTCTTTTGACTTTCTAACTCCAGATCTTTATACATTTCATTATATTTGACCTTGTCTTCTGAAGGTGCTCTTTTAAATGTTCTATTCAGCTCTTTTACTTCCTCATTTCCTCCATTTGCTTTAGCATCTCTACACTGGAGAGCAAGTTTCAGAGTCTCTTCTGACATCCATTTTGGTCTTTTTCTTCTTGTCTTCTTAATGATCTTTTGCATTTTTCCTGTATGATGTTCTTGATGTCATCCCACAATTCTTCTAGTCTTTGGTCTTTAGTATCTAATGTATCGAATCTGTTCTTCACATGATCTCTAAATTCAAATGAGATATGTTCAAGGTACTATTTTGGCTCCCGTGGACTTATTTCAGTTTTCTTCAGTTCAGCTTAAATGTGCATATGAGCAATTGATGATCTGTGCCACAGTCTGTCCCTGGCTTTGTTTTGGCTGATGATATGGAGCTTTTCCACTGTGTCTTTCCACAGATATAGTCAATTTGATTTTTTTGTATTCCATCTGGTGAGGTCCATGTGTATAGTCATATTTTATGTTGTTTTAAAAAGGTACTTACAATGAAGACGTCATTGGCCATGCAAAATACTAGCAAGCGATCTCCAACATCATTTCTATCACCAAGGCCATATATTCCAACTATTGATCCTTCCTCTTTGTTTCCAACTTTTGCATTCCAATCACCAGTAATTATCAATATATCTTGATTGCATGTTTGCTAAACTTCAGACTAAAAAAGTTGATAAAATTCTTCAGTTTCATCATCATTGGTTTCAGTGGTTGGTGTGTTAATTTGAATAACAGTAGTATTAACTGGTATTCCTTGCAGGCATATGGATATTATCCTATCACTGACAGCATTGTACTTCAAGACAGATCTTGAAATGTTCTTTTAGATGATGAATACACCACCATCCTCTTCAATTTGTCATTACTGGCTTAGTAAACCATGTGATTGTCAGATTCAAAATGGCCAATAGCAGTCCATTTAAGCTCTCTAATGCTTATGCATTCCATTTCATTTCTGACAATTCCCAATTTTCTAGGTTCATACTTTGCACGTTCTATATGCTGATTTTTAACAGCTGTTGACCACTGATTCTTTTCAGTTTGAATTGTTGTTGTTAGATTGAGTCCAACTCAAGGCAGCTCTAAATACAATAGAACAAATTGTTGCTCTACCCTGTGTCAGCTCACAATCACTGGCACGTTCAAGTTTATTGTCATGGTTACTGTACTGCTATATCATCTTACCAAAGCCCTCCTCACCCTCATAAGCATCTAGTGTTGTTCCTGAGGAACTGGCCACAGCAAGTGAGCCAAAGTTCTGTTTTTAAGCCATCCTGTTTTCATTGGGCAATTCTCAGTGGCAGATTGCCAGACCTTTCCTCTTAGTCTGTCTTAGTCTATAAGCGAAACCTGTCCACTATGGGTAACCCCGCTGGTACTTGAAATATCGGTAGTACATCTTCCAGCATCACAGCAACATGCAAGCTGTCATAGTATGACAAACTGAAAGAGAAGTGGTGGATTTCCCTTGTAGTCAGAATAAAAGGGAGGCTTAGAAACCAGGTAAGCAAGTGGCAGAGTACGTATATTACCTACTGCATAACACTGTCTCCTCTCTTACTGATTTTGTGTTTGGAAAAGAAAGGAGCTTGGATTAAGAGAGTACAATCATGCCATTCTGCAGAGGAGTCTCTTCCATGGAAATTTCCCTGAGAGGTACCAGGAGATGATCATTCCTTTCCCACGATATTAGATGAGGTCCTACTTCCTGAAGAAGGAAGAGTTTAGGCAGGAAGACAAAGGTATCAACTGAGCAGAGGAGCAGATTTTTTTTCAACTATCTTGACAGAGATTTGCTTTTATGGTTATTAAAGAAAATGAGGAAATTATATTGCTATGCCAGCTAGCAAAGCTTAGGCAAAGTGGTTTAAAAAAAAGGGGATGGGGGGAGACAAAATTCATCTTTAGTAGATAACACCCACTTTCTGTGTCTCAACCTATAGATAGTTCTGTATTTCCTGACTCCCAGGACTGTGGGACTTGTGGATCTCGTCTGCTAATCATTCCTATTCCTGCATCATTTTATCTGGGCTCTACTGAGTGACTGGTGATCAAAGATGGTAGGCAAATGAGAATTTCAGTGTTTAAAATGGAGAACAGTTTAATGTCTTTTGTGGTCAACAAAATATCCCCTCCCAGATGATAACTTCCATTTATTTATAAAGTCTTCATCCAAAGGTAGCGAAATTCACCCCCGGTCTTTGCAATTGAGGATCTTCCACACCTCTGACTGTGGCATAGAAATGCTGTAGTAGACTCTAAGGGCACGATGTTGTTTAAAAGATGCTGTGGTTTAATGCACTGAACCGCAAAATCGGTTTGTAGCGCAAGGTTGGCGGTTCAATCTCCTCAGCCGCTCCTCAGAAACCCTATACATGGTTCATTATAGGTCAGAACTGACTCAGTGACACTTAACAACAGTACAGACTTCCTGGAGTTCTGGTATGGCGCTGTAGGATAAGTACTGGACTGCTAACCACAAGGTTGACAGTTCAAAATACGCCAGTTGCTGCTTGGAAACCCTAGAGGGTTGCTAAGAGTCAGAATCGATTTGATGGCACTTAACAACAAAAACATTGATGATTTTAGAAGCCCTGGTGGCACTGTAGTGAACCAAAAGGTTGGAAGTTCAAACCTACCAGCTGCTCCTTGGGAGAATAATGAGACTTTCTAATCCTATAAAGATTTATGTCCTCGGAAACCTTACATAGGGTCACTATGAGTCAAAATCAACTTGATGGCAGTAGGTTTTGGTTTTGGGTGGCCAAGACTTTTAGAGTACATCTACTGAGAAGTGGACATTTCAATGGTTAACACGCAAGGATACATGGCAAGAGTGCATATTTTAGAATGAATATGGGCTTTTGATGTTATGAAAATTCATTTCTCTCGTCAGTTTGCTCCATAAGGCTGAACTAAACCTATAACCCCTGAATAAAAATTTGGCAAATATTTATTAATCCAATGAATCTATTATTTATGTCTGTTCTTTCTACTGTATATTTTCTTAAATAACTTCGATGAACTGAATATTTTAACTGGATAAATAATTCAAGGTCTTAGGAGTGGCACGCCCACTGTAATCATATAAGAAAAACACCTCTACATAAAATTCAGATTTCAATAAACCAAGTGTCAATATAATTTTCATAAGATCTGAGTGAAAGATCCACTCTTGTTAATCTCTCAGCCTCCTTTTTAAAAGCATTATCTTGGATAGTAAAATGGGACTGGGGAAAACGGATTTAACAGCATCTTCTACACAGAGAAGAATTTTTTTAATTATGTCAAAATCAGATGAACATTAAAAAAAAATAGAATATGTCTGTAGAGATAAGAAAAGGGTTTCCAAAATTTAGGTTCTTCATTCTGCCCCCCCCACCTTGATTTATCTTGCCATAAAACCATTTAAATTTAAGAGACTGCAGAATTCTGCTCTTTGCAGAGATCAGCAGGGACCAGCCTCAACAGACTCCTTAAGAATTCAACTGTCGATTCTTAACTTTGTCAGGTTGAAATCAGTGAGGTTACAGTATACTAATTGCTTAGATTTAATACAGCTTACAGGTTGGCCCCAGTTCAAAATGGTTCTAAATCAAAGAGGGAAAACATACATCCTCTAACAATAATACCTCTTTTCTGCTAACAGGAATTCGAGTTTTGCTCAAAAGTTGATTTCACAGGAAGACATGAATTTTCTCCAGGGACATATGCATCTTACCAGAGTTTTTCCAGGCACAATTGAACAGTGATGAACGATTCCACTGTTTATTTCTAGACCCATGTCCTATAAAATATCTGTAAGTGTACTTTTCTCGTTGTGGTGCCTGCCACAATAAACACATATAACAATACAGTTGGGTTTTTTTGTTTGCTGTTCACTTTTGGTTGGGTTTTTTTGGGGTGTGTGTTGGTTTTATGTTTTCTGAAGGGAACTGCTGAGGAAGATGAAGAATTTTTGAATAAAATTACTGAAAATTACCTGGCACTGGTGCAGAACACAGGGTTCAGAAGGGCTCTGCCATTTGAAGGAACTGTTGTAGGTACTTCCTCCATAGGTACAGCCTAGACAGGAAACACAGAAGCGAGAAGAAAGGCAAAGAATGAATCCGGATATCCTTTATCTTTGAAGTGAAAAAGAAAAAAAAGTTATGTTATCCAAGACAGGTCTAGCAATCACAGAAACTCTTAGGGTCCTTTGCTGATTTCCCCCAAAATGCAACTTGTTGTTGTTGTTATGTGCCATGGAGTTGGTTCTGACTCATAGCGACCCTGTACAGGGTTTCAACTAGATCTTGTAAATATCCACTTGACATTCACTTACACTGATCTCTGGGATACTTCTGAAAAAATTAACTTCACAGGTTATATTTTCAGATGAAAAACCATAGATTAATGAACTCTCTGAACCAAAATGCAGAACCTTGTGACTACTTGCACCTAATGAATTATATGCAGCACAGCAGGGTAAGTACTGAACTGCTAACCACAAGGTTAGTGGTTCAAACACACCAACCTCTCCTCAGAAACCCTATACAAGGTTGCTATGAAACGGAACAACAACATCAGAGCAATAGACACCATTGTAAGAGAAGATCTTACGTAAGACCAAATGAGCTCAACATTTCTAAACATCAAGAGGAAAATTTAAAACATGGTCAAAAATGAAAGCAGAAAGTTAAAATGCAGGAATCGATTGAGAAAATTCTATATCCATCTAAGAGTCTTGACAAACTATTGACTTCACCAGATAAAATCTTCTTCTTAAGACTTGTCTCCAACCTTTCTAAGAGCTCTGATTTCAGATTTCACTTTTATTTTACCTTTTAGTAGTAGATTAGATTAAGCAAGTCTGAAACTACCTGCATATAGATTACGATAGTCATGTTAATGCGTTAGTCAAAATAGAAGTCATCCTAATTCACTGGCAGAAGTACAAGCCATCATAATTCATCAGAAAAAATGGAAGTGAATGGCCAGAGATATTCGAAAGAGAAAACAAGCCAATTAGCTTAATTGAATCTACGCAGAACCCCAGGAATTACAGTACAAAGATCACAGCCTTAGATCTTCTGAGCAGATGCATCTAAATACTCCTCTGCTGTTACGAGCCCTGGTGATGTAGTGACTATAGATCTTGACTGCTAACCAAAAGACCAGTGGTTTGAACCTACCAGCCTCTGTACAGGGGTAAAATATGTCACTGTGAATATGAGAAAGATGTGGCAATCCACTTCCACCAAGGTTTACAGTCTTCGGAACCCCATGGGGCAGTTCTATGCTCTTCTATAAGGTTAAGATGTCAGAATCAGCACATTGGCAGTGGGTTTGATTGCATTTTCGGTTGTTGATGTGGGCTTTTGAGTCATTTCTGACTCAAAGCAACTCTACATGACAAAGTAGAACTGTCCCATGGGGTTTCCAATGCTATAAATCTTTATAGGAGGAAATCACCATGTCTTGTTTCCCACAGGGTCACTGTTGGCTTTGGGTTAGCAGCTGAGTGCTTAACCACTGAGCTACCAGTGCTCCTTAACTATGTCTCCAGCCATTATATAAAAAGTTCATGGGAAAAAGTGAAATGAAAAGAAAATGGTATGTTTCCATGAACTTTTTGAAGCTCCTTTACATTAGATCCTTAAGAATTCATGAGGGCAAAGGGGTTTCCCAACTATAGTCTGGATTTCTTAGCCCAAAGAGTTTGGAAGCAGTAATGGACATGTGGAATGATACAGAAATAAAAGGGCTTCACTCTCTGAGATGGGCTCAGTAAGTGCAATCAGTCTCAGTTCACATCAGTGTCTCTTGTCTAAGACACAAAAAGAAGGCTGGCCACCCTCCCTGAATTCTATTAGATACTGCTGTGGTTAAAAAAAAAACAAAACAAAACTTTAATATTTATAAGCAGAGCAAGAGAGGACTCAGGAAAATTTCAATAGATGTTTTCATATACTTGGAACCATATCTGAATTCCCAGAGAATTGTGAATGATCAAAAAAAGCTCAGTACTACTATGCTTTCTACTTCCTACAAATCAAATTACTAAAATACACAGAAGATTGGAAACATTAGGAAAATGCTTTCACTATATATTTTATTAATTTCCTTTGTGTGAAGTGTCACAGAGATAAAATGTTCAATCATAGGAACCCCTAGCACATTACAGATCCTTAGGCCAAATCAAGAATGAATAGAGTACATTTTCAACAATTAAAGCCAATGTAAAACAATTTGAGTGAGCATAAATCTTACCAAGCAAGCACACTTACAATAGACGTGCCTTGTGCATGTCTGATCCACTAACAGATTCACTCAGATAATAAATAACTTGTTCCGAGAGATGGAGGCGGGAAATCAGAGAACCAAATCCAATTCATGTTAAGTCCAAGTAAATATAAAATGCCTGCCAAGTCTGCCATTGGAGTTTCCAAATATGCTGTATATTTTCATCCTCTGGATTGAAAAATCTAGAAGAAAGGGTGATTTCTCTGTTGCTAATAGGGCAAGAAAAGCTCTTGCCTTTTTATATGGGAGCAGGAGCTTTCAGCCAAGAGATAGCACTACCTAGGCATGGGTGAGGGAGTTTCTGAAGTAGGATAGGGCTCTTTGGATTATTCTATTCTATACAGGATAGAATGGAATAACAGATCCACAGTGCAGATCAACAATGTTTCCTGTTACAAATAACTGTCGGTTGGAATGTTGTATTGTAACATGTAAAGAAAGATTGGGCAATAATATCAGATATTCAGTCCAAGGTCAGATTCTGAAGTGGATCATTGCTTCTATCATGCCCAAGTCCACATAATACATCTCCCCAGATGTTTATTGAATTTAAGTGACTGAATAGATTCTAAAGTAGCTAGGATAATCATTTTAACAAATGCAATCCATACTTTTTTTTTTTTTTTCTTCATCTGTCTTCCTCAGCATCAGCTATAAAGACGTCAGTAGACCAAGTATTATAGTGCATTTTGTATGTAAGGGATTCTTAGGGATGAGACTAATTAAAGAAATGACATTTTTACTGCTCTTGTGATTCATGCTTTAAGATATACAGGGTATATCTTTTTGTAAAAAATGTATCGTGGAGATTTCACACACACGAAGGGACTTCAAAAAGTTCATGGAAAAATTCAACATCATACATAAAAAAAGCAAAAAATCATAGGACCAGGAAACATCAAGGCAAGTGGTCAGGTCCCCTCAGTGCAAACCTTCTTCCAAGACTAAGACTCAATGGGAATACACACTCTGAATGGTGACCACGCTTGTCACCAATAAGGGGAAGTGAGGGAAAAACAGCAATGAAGCGGTGAGCTAACCCCTAAAATGTTCAATAGACTTCTGTGTACCAGGGTGAAGACCTGGTTGGCCAGCAGTGTGGCAAGACCTGGGGACTCTTGGGCCCAGAGTCAGTGACATAGCCACAGAGGACTAGAGTGGACAGTGAAGCATACAGCTGATAAGAAGAGAGGGCATATGCACAAGAAAACCCACACTTGCAGATACTACCCACTTGACTTGGCTTCAATGGCTGAATGATCAGAGCTCAACCAGAAGAAGAAAGAAGAGGAAAAAAAAAAAAGTATTCTGATACAATTTGATGAACTTGACCTACACCTATGGAAGCAGTTGCTCAAAAGAGGGAACAAGTCCTTACAGCAAGAATCATCCCCACCCCCTCCACACACAGAGTAGACAGGGATGGGCAACTTGGACATTGGCTACCCAAAATGGGGGGCAGGGGGCCACAAAGGCAAGAAGTGACTGGCTTACAAGCTTTTAAGAGGGAACCTAGATCCAGAGGGCCTGGAGGAAGGTAGAAATCTCCAGTGAGTATTATTCAATCTGATTAGGCAGGGCTGATGCAATGAAATGCAGACGGGTCTCTTGTGATTCAATATTGAATAATTGTTATCAGGACTGATTGTGAGGGTTGGAAATGTAAAGGTAGATGTTTTATAGCAAGGAGGGGAGTGATTAACTTTCCAGTCTAGGAGTGGAGGTCCCTAGGACCATCAAGGGAGAAGAGCGGAGAGAAGGACCCTACCCAGAGAAGCAGTAATGCCTGAAATGGAGGCAGAGATGATGACGTGCAGTGATGTAGCAGCTGGGGACTTCAAATCCAGAGAGGGAGAGGGACTGTGTGCTGAAGACCGGGGAGGTGTGGGGGGCAGGCTTGCAGGGTATACCCTTTGGTTGGCTGATGATGCATGGAGGGGATTGTAACCATGACAATGAAACGATATACGATAGAATGAATGTAAAACTATCATATAATTCACTATCATATGAATGTAAACTATCATATAATTCACAATAAAATATTTTTTAAAAAATCATAGGAAAGAAAAAAAGGTAAAAGTAAATATCAGAAGAAACTCTGGAACTGGCTTGTGAACACAGAAAAGCAAAAGAAACTGGAATAAGTGATGAAATTAAAGGCTTTGTTGTTGTTAGATACTCTCAAGTCAGTTCTAACTCATAGTGGCCCTATGCAAAACAAAATAAAACACTGTCCGGTCCTTCAGCATCCTCACAACTGTTACACTTGGGCCTGTTGCTGCTGTTACTGTCAAGCCATCTTGTTCGGGGCCTTCTACTTTTTCACTGACCTTCCACTTTACCAAGCATGATGTTCTTCTCCAGGGGCTGATACCTTCTGACTGCTTTCTGAAGTCTCCCCATCATGGTTTGTACGGAGCTTTCTGGCTGTATTTCTTCCAACACAGATTTGTCCATTCTTCTGGTATTTCCAATATTCTTCTCTAACACCATAACTCAAATGCATCAATTCTTCTCTGGTCTTCCTTATTCATAGTGCAACTTTCACAGGCTATTGAAAAGTAGTCTATTGAAAATGCCATGGCTTGGGTCAGGCGCACCTTCGTCCTCAAACCAAAATCTTTGCTCTTGAACACTTTAAAGAAGTCTTGTGTAGCAGATTTGATTTCTTGACTGCTGCCTCCATGAATGTTGTATCAAAATGAAGCCTTTGACAACACAGGAACAGAGAAGTTCAAAGGACAAATGCAGAAAATAAAGTTTTACAGTGAAATGTG